AAAAATAAAAATATATGTACTATATTTAATATTTTTTAAAAGTTTAGAAAAATTCCGTTATCCTAATTAATCGAAATGTTTGTCAAATAAATTATTTTAAAACAAAATTAATAATTTATAAATTATTTAAAAAAATATTTTTAAATTAAATTAAAATAAACCACTTAATTAATATACTATTTATTGAATTTAACCCGTTATTTACCGTTAAAGCCGCCAAAGCCCTTTGAAGAAAAACCGAAAGGCACTGTTTTATTTGACCGAACCTGCGCCTCCTCTTCTCACCCATAAGCCTTAAACACTCCCTTTCTTTCTCTCTCTTCATCTCTAAACTCAAACCAAAATCCTACTCTCTCTGCTCTGTCCCCTCTTCTTCCTCATCCAGACGACAACGGCTCAATTGGTACGGGGGTTCTCTCAATCTCACCAGAAGAAACAGCAGCAAGTTCAAGGAGAGCAAGGAGAGCAAAGATAGACGCAAAAAAGCAGTAATGGATGAAACCAAGTCTTCTTCTTCTTTTGGGTTTAACAAAAGAAGAGCGGAGGGGGAAGACGAGAACGACAGGCCTAATAAGAATTTCCAGTTGAAAACGCGCACGCTTAATCCTACCAATACAATTGCATATGTACGGATGTTTTTCATTTTTGCTTTAATCCTCTGTTGTTTTTCTCGTGTTTGCTAAGCTTATGGGTTTTGTTAGAATTCGCTTGTTTTGATTCTGATATATTTTCAGAACCATGGGTATGCTATTTTCCTTTTTCAATTTCAAATCCCTGCTTCTAATGTGTTTAATAAGTAGTGGTTTGCAATGCCAGAACAATGCTAGTTTGTTCATTCGCTATGGGGTTCAATATGTTCTTCTTTGTCAAGGACATGTTTTAATTGGAAATCTTCTAGAATTGGTACATAATTTAGATTACAAATAATAGATTTTCATTAATTCTGGCTGATACTGGGGACTGAATGGATACGCGAGATACCTCACCTTCAGTTTTGCTCTTCTTCGACAAGCAGAGATTTATTTTCAATGCAGGAAAGGTACACATGGGATGACATTATCTAAATTTAATGTCTTCCAGAGACTTATGTTAGCTTATTGATTTTACTTTTAAAGAATTGTGTGTTAGCTTATTGTTGATGTTAAAATGTGATTCTTTATAAAGTATATATGAGCTCCTGTTTACGTTGTAATGATGCCATAAAATCCATTGTCATTGCAGGGATTGCAAAGATTTTGCACAGAGCATAAGATCAAATTATCTAAGGTGTGCAGTGCCATGTGTTTTTGAGTTTTTAATTTAGAACTTCCTAGTTTGTCTAATGTGGATATTTCTTCAGATAGATTACATATTTCTCTCTCGTGTTTGTTCATAGACAGCGGGTGGACCTCCAGGTTTTTATTCTGAATCTTGATATTTGACATTTCTATTAATATTATTTCTAAGCATTAGAGTCTATGCTGCTATTAATTAGTACTTGATATGTGAAGAAGATACCCTTGTTTCATCATTTTTCACTGTACATAACAGGTTTAGTTCTGACTTTGGCAGGCATGGGAGAAGAAGGGATGTCTGTGAGTATAAGCTGAAGCATAAGTCTCTCTTTTTTTACTATTTCTTAAAAGATATTAGCAATAGGGTCACATTAAGTAAATTTCATCCTGTGTTTTATTGAAGGCTAATATTTGGGCTCCCTCAGATCTTACATATTTAGTTCATGCAATGAAGTCTTTTATCCCACATGCTGCGATGATTCATACTCAAAGCTTTGGTCCAACTTATGCTGCTGCCCTGCCTGATCCAAGTAAATTTGCAGACCCACTTGTTCTTGTCAATGATGAGTTCGTTAAAAAATCAGCTGTTTTCCTTTGTCCAAATCACTCAGAAGAAGGGTTGCCAGTAAGGCCAGGAGAAATGTCTGTCATTTATATTTCTGAACTGCCAGAGCTTACGGGGAAATTTGACCCAAAAAAGGCTGTTGCTCTTGGGCTGAAGCCTGGGCCGAAGTAGCGGCAGTTTTAAAGGGGAATTCAGTCAAATCAGACAACCTTGATATCATGGTTTGTAATCTGTGAAACAATATACAATTTTTGTGGCTCTGCAATGCTTTTGATGTGTCTGAAATTTATTACTTGTGAATTGTGACATGGTTTATCCCATAATTTATTTGCTTTCCCATGTAGGTTCATCCAAGTGACGTTATGGATCCTCCAATTCCTGTTCCCATTTTCTTCCTGGTCGACTGTCCCATGGAATCTCATGTAGAGGAATTGTTGTCCATAGAATCTCAGGGAAAATTGTACTGATTTGTCTGGAAGCGAAACAAAAAGTGCCCAGTCTGTGAATTGTGTGTCATTCATCTAAGTCCTGTTTCTGTTGTAAACAGTCTCAATTACCAGAAATGGATGAAGAAGTTTGGTTTGGCTCAACATGTTGTTGCTGGACATGAAATGTGAGTTACTTTCTCTCCCTCTTTTTTTATTTTTTTTATTTTTTTCAGTTTTGCTTCTTCCTTGACAGCGACATTGGTTATTTTCTTGCCTACCTCCTTGATGGTTTCTTTGGGAATATTTGCTGGTTGCAGGAAGAATGTGGAGATCCCAATTCTAAAAGCCAGTGCAAGAATTGCAGCCCCACTTAATTATATGTGTCCACAATTCTTTCCAGCTCCAGGTTTCTGGTCGCTTAACAAGCTCAATTACTCAATACCAGATGCTAATGCTGCTAGCAAGGTTCATTCCGACTTCATTGAAAGATATGTGCAGATCATTCGTAATTAATGAGGTTTGTCGATGTTCAGCTTAAGCCACTTCTTTTTTATCATTTGTGTCCTTTTCTTTACTGATTGTGGTTCTATCATTCCAATATCAATAAATAAAACAACCTTGGTCAACTTTAGGTTCTTGAACAAGCTAACAAGAAGGGAATTCAACATGATTTTTTTTTTTTTTTAATGGATATGGTATTGAAACAACATCGGTGACTCGCCTCCACTCTTACACACTGACATGTCCATCTATCCATCCAGTCCATCTATCTTCCCTCGTTTTCTTCAAGAATTCAATTCAACTCCTTCAGTTTCAACTCCGTGGTTTTCCCATCTCCTTGAATCCAATCAATGGAAATTTGAAACTTTAATCCCTTCTCGAACAACCCTGATTCAATCAATCAATCAATCATTCAATCATTCGAATTACCGTGCATCGCATTCCAGATCCTTCAGTTCAGTGGGCTCGAGTTTTTCCAACCCATTCCGATCGAATAACCGAGGGCAGTTCTTTTTCTTGGCATTTAACAGGAAAACTCTTGAGATTTTTTTTTTTTTTTTAATCTTGAATTCGTGATAACTGGGATTTTCAGGGAATTGGAAT